AGAGATGCCAAAAAACACAGCAAAGGGTTCTTCAGGTATGTAAACAACAAGCAGAAACAGAAGGGAAATATTGGCGAGGAGAGGTGAATTAGACACCAACAATACTGAAAAGGCAGAGGTTCTCAATGCTCTCAGTGCTCTCAGTGCTCCGTCTTTACCAGCACTGTTGGACCTCAGGCCTTGGGAACAAAACTCCAGGTTGATGAGAACACAGACCCACCACCAGTGAATGAAGAGCTGGTGTGTGAACTATTACCTTGACCCGTACAAATCAGTGGGCCCTGCCAATATCCACCCAAGGGTGTTAAGAGAGCTGGCTGATGTCATTGTGAGGCCACTCTCCATAAGCTTTGAGAAGTTGTGGAGACTGGGGGCAACTCAGAAGGCTGAAAGAAGGCTAGTGTCACCTGCATCTACAAGAAGGGCTTAAAGGAGGCTCCAGGAAATCATAGGCCCATCAGTCTTACTTCAGTCCCTGGGAAAGTTATGGAACGAATGCTATCAGATGAAGCACATCATTGGAAAAAGCCAGCACGGGTTCACCAAGGGCAAATTGTGTTTGACAAAGCTGATCGCCTTCTGCAACAAAGTAACCTGTTCAGTCGATGTGGGACAAGTGGTAGACATTGTCTACCTGGATTTCTCCAAGACTTTCAGTACAGTTTCCCACAGCCTCCTTATAGAGAGACTGATGCCTAGAGGAGGAGTCCATGTTGTGGATGGGAACTGACTGACAGGCTACACCCAGAGGTGGGTGGCAAATAGCTCCTTTTCAAACTGGGAACCTGTCACAGTGGAGTCTCCCAGGGATCAATATTTGCCCCAACACTGTTTAATGTCTTCATGAGTGATCTGGATGATGGGATCAAGTGTACCCTGATTAAGATTGCTTCCCCCAAACTGAGTGGAGAAGTGGACACTTTGGAATGGAGAGCCACCCTGCAGGAAAACCTGGACAGGCTGGAAGAGTGAGCTACCGAGAACCTTATGAAGTTAATGAAGACCAAGTGTAAGATCTTGCACATGGGAAAGCATAATCCGGGAGTGCAACAGAGGCTGGGATTTAGTCAGCTGTTGAGGAGAAACTCTGGGGGAAGGGACCTGGGGGTCTAGGTGGACAAGCAGTTCGATGTTATGCACAGTCTGCTGCAGCAAAGAAAGCCAGCAGGATCCTGGGTTGCATCAACAAGGGCATCAGCAGCCATGATAAAGATGTCATTATTCCACTCTACTCAGCACTTGCCAGGTAACACCTGGAGTTTTGTGTTCAGATTTTGTCCCTATTATACAAAAAAGACATGGACAGGCTGGAGAGGGTCTGGAGAAGGGCCACTAAGATGATCCAAGGACTGGGAAGCCTGCCATGTGAGGAAAGGCTGAAAGAACTGGGTTTGTTCAGCCTTGAGAAAAGAAGGCTTAGGGGAGACCTTTTCACCATGTTCCAGTGTTTAAAGGGTGGCTACAAAGAAGACAGAGACTTGATTTTTACAGTCAAGTGGAAAAGACAAGGGGTAATGGGTACAAGTTACTCCTGGGATGATTCCGGTTGGACACAAGATGAACATTTTTCCCAATGAGAACAACCAAGCATTGGAATAATCTCCCCAGGGAAGTGGTGAATTTCCCAATTTTGGACATTTTTAAGATTCAGATGGACAGGGTGCTGTGCCATCTGGTCTAGACAGTGCTTTTGCAAAGAAGGATTGGACCAGATGATCCTTGAGGTCCCTTCCAACCTGGTATTCTACGATTCTGTGAAAATGCTTGTTATATTTACTGTAAAGGCTACACATGGCTTTTTCCAATTGTTCAAGGCTAGTTTTACCTTTTTTTTTTTTTAAGTGTACCTATTTATGCACAGTTAGGTTCCATTTTTTTTAAAAAAATAGCAGCTTAAACACCCCAATTTAAGCCTTGATACCAGATACAGTTACTCAATAGTGGAATTGTCAGGGAAACTTTTTTAAATAGCTCAATGCAACGTCATGAATCAGGAATAGAGAAAGTGGGGATTTTACAGGATGTGGTATTTCTTTATGAGAAGCTGTAGTTCAGAAAAGGAAACTGAAAGTCCTATTTCACATCTGAGATTAAGTGTATGGTAAAAAGAATTAATGGCATCCCTGCATACATGAAAAGGAATACTGAGTAGGTACAGGGAAATTATTCTTCTACTGTTCTTGCCAGTGAAAGTGGTTTTATATAACTTTAACCATCTAAATTGACCTGATTTTCCCACTGCAGGCTTTTTCTCTAATGTCTTTGGAGAAGAAAGCTATATGGCTAGCACAGATGATGTGCCTAACAATAGGTGGCTCAGGCTAAATGAGTTGAACCCTATTCATGGGCCAGCAATGTTCAGACTTCGTGCAAGGCATATAGCTTCCAGATTCCGCCTCTAAGAAGTTAAGAGAAATCCTCTTGTGCTCTGTCCTTTCTTTATCATTCAGATTTTAGGAAAATTTGGCAGAGATCTTCATACTATTATGTCGTGTCTTCTCTTCTACCTGTTGATCATCAGAAAAATGGTTGCTTTTCTCCATGTTCAAACTGTGAGCAATGGCACCAGACTCTCCACAGTTAGACTAAATGGGGCAGGGCCTGGACACTTTATTGTTTCAGGGTCTCAGGAAATTCATGCAGATAGCTTTGCATCATTTACTGTCATATAAAAGGCTTATTTTTGCAATCATACATGAGATTGGTACTGAAGTGGGGAAAAAAAATCCAAGAAAAATAATGTAGAGGTCAGGAGCTGCTCTTCCCTTTCCTTCTGTTCCTCCTGCCTAGCCCCATAGTGCAGAGCACTGGAAAGTAATGAAAAGAACTTGGGTTTGTCACACATATTACTCTTTGTGGTGGCACCCTTTTTCTCCCTATGGATTAGTATAGCTCCTGGATAGCAGAACCCTGCCATGCTTGGTGTCATTATCATTGCTATAACAATAACAAAAACAGGGATAATAACAGTGTACTGGAAAACTTCATAGCTGTAGAGTGAAAAAGGTAAATAATGCTCCCTCATTCAATGACACACAAATATCAATTACCTGTAATTACGTACAAAGCTAATTTTTCAGATTTGACTGATTGAAAATTGTTTTGCCCAGGAGACAGTGCCTTTTCTTATTTGGTTTTCACGATAATGCAGAATGAGATATTTGTGTTACCACCTCCTAGCTTGTCAGAGCACTGCTTCAGTGAAGAAATAACTTCTAGTGATTTGTGTAGTAATCCTTCTTGTGTCCTGATGGAAACAGGGAACCTACAAGTATTTTAGTCTTAATATCTACTTGGAACTAAAAACCTTTCAAAAGACTTTTTTTCCCCCCTTTTTCTCTGTGTTATCTCTGAAAGAAATCCAGTCCCACAGGTACTTCACTCATGCATATTTTCCCATGAAAAGAGAGGAAAAACTTGATTGAAATAATGAACTCTAGGCAAATAAATAGATATTTTCCTATATCTAAGTCTTGGCAGGTGGTTTAAAAACCGGGGGAAATATGTACGTATTTTATTGATGAACAAACCAAAGGTTTGGTTCAGAGGTGGATACTGTAATGACATTGAAGGCAAAACAAATGTAGTGCCTCCAATATGACAGGTCTTCGTTTCCCTTTTGAACTTTTTACTTTAAAGCTTAGAGGAAATATGATGAAACTTGATGACGAACCAACTTAAAATTCAGTTATAAATAGGCTTCCTATGTTAGTAACAGACTTAATCTGTTATTGCTACATGTGCTTCCATACTTAGTTCCTATTTCTCTTTCTGGTGTTGCTCAGAGGGATTGAGCAATCATTTGGGTTTATTAATATACTCCAGCTATGATGAGACTAGTGCAAGTCACCAGCACTCAGGCAACGCACTGGTAAATATAAACAAGTCTTACCTTCTGAACCAATGACATTAACAACACTTTCTTTGTCCTGCACTAGTGTTTGCATTGTTCCTATTGTGTTTGGGTCACTGGTGTTCAGATTGGTTTAGCTTGCATTGATGTTAATGGCCACAGATATGCAGGATTCATTTCAATATTATACCAATACCTAACCAATACCTCAAAATATGGCTTAGCATCTGTTGTTTCCAGATGCTAATAGTGAAACTATAATGGAGGTTCCATGGTGCATTCCTAGTTCACCTGATGAACCCACATTCTGTTCTGCCAGGGAATGTTAATGGTGCCAGTACTAACAAGGTGTTCTTTAGACCAGTGTAAAACATGGAGATTATCAAGTCAGTACGAAACTAGCCATCTTGTGAATCAGCCTCATAATGATATCAGAGAAGTGGGTTAATTAAATTAAGAAATCATTAAATAACTCCCCAAACCCTCAGAATACAGAAAAGTGAGTGACTGAGATTTTCAGCTATGAAATGCAGAGAAGAATTTGAGTTTTTCAGAGCAGGTTATGAAGCTATTCAGTGTCAGAATAAACTGTTTATTCTCAGCACAATGTTTTGTTGCAGTCTTTTTGGAAAGAGCTGGGTCCCACAACCAGGAAAAACGTTAACCATATATGAATGCAACCCTGTGTATCCATTACAAACTCAGAAGAGGAGAAGGATGAGTTTGGGTGGTTGGGGTGAAATCAGATGAGGGAGAGTGAAAAAGGCATCTAGCAGAGACTACTGGACAAGTTTATAAAGAGTTTGTGCTTTGTATTCACAAATGATGCCTTCAATAAATGGATGGGTCTTTAAACACTAGTTCAGATTTCTTGATATTAAGAACAAACCAAATTGAGCTGTTAATTTAAAGACAGAGTCTTTTAAATCATATCCTTAAAACAGTAATTTTTATGGGCCATTTCATGGCAAGATATCTCCAATTAATTGTTTTGCTGACAGTAAAAAGTTAAATAAGACAGAAATTTTACACTTGTTCTGGTGTGAGACCTGATGACCAAGAATTTACTACTTCAGAGAAGCAGTTTTGAACTTTAGTAGGGGTCACTGACTAATCACATTACTCATTTGCTTTTTTCCTCTGAAAGGCGTTAACATTTTAGCATGCATATTTGAATGAGAAACTGGACAGAATACTATATAAACTTCTTCCACAGACTCAGCCAATTACTCCACTCTACTGGGAAGTTATAAGGTAAGAGTTATATGGCTCACTGGATAACTCTCTAGATGCCAAAGACGTGGTTTATGTTATAGTCAGGAGGTCCTTATTTTTCTACTATTTGCTATTTAAGTGCTAACTTAAGAACAATGCTTAAAAGTACCTTTGTGATAAAAACATCTTTGTTGGGCTTTGCAGCTTTAGCTTATCAATTACATTAAAATAAGAAATAAAAGAATCATAAAAATCATAGACAATTTTGAAAGAACTAAAAGGAAACAATTGTTATAGCATTTCAGAATTTGTATTATTAGTAAAATAGAATTTACTCCCAGAGAGCCAGATTCTGGTCTCCTTATTCTTGCTAGGTGTCTTTTTATCTTTTTCAGTCTTAGTTAATGGATCCGGGAAGTAAATTTTTCAAAGTGTGAATCTGAGCAGTTATTCTTAATTTCACCTTTCAAAACAAACCTCCAAGAAATGATACCTCTGAATAATGTGTGGGGCTGTCAAACAGCCTCATCTCTGCTTCATTGCTGTCAGTCAGTGACTGAGAAGGGCTCTTTGGGACCTTCTGTGGTATGATTGAGATGAGAATCTATCCCACTGCCAAGAATCCCCCCCAAAACCTTTCAACAGGCATCTTCTCCTCTTTGTGGGTTTAAGCAATGCCAGGAGGAGGTGGGCATCCTAGTGAGTTCTAATTGGTTCAGTTGAGCTGATTTTTATCTGACAAGTTCCTTTCCCAGAATGAAGGAAAAAAATCGCTTGTCAATTATATAGTGAGGTATTTAA